CTTCACAGATGTGCCAGACCTGCTGAGCTTTTCCAGCAACTTTGTTTTTGTTCAATAGATCAGGTGTTTTCTTTGTGGTCAAATTGTTTTAAGTTATTCTTAGCAGCAAGAGAAAGCACATCATCTCATCATTGGCAGTTCGGTAACAAATTGCCCAATAAACTGGTATAAAAACAGAACGCGTTGGAGAAACTTGGTCAGCCCATCACTGAAGTTCAATACGAAACCTCCACAAGCTACTCATTGGCCTGCTGAGACAGTTACCAAATGCACTGCAAAAAGTGTCAGAAAAGCCGGAACCTTCTTAGTAACCCTGGGCCACTGTCTAGAAGGAATGAACACGAAGTGCAATGTTATACTGTTGTATTCCAAATCTTCATTACCTGCGGAGATAGGGGCGAACTTCCCACAAATAATCGTACACGCAGGCACGGCTACCGCAGCACAGTGGTTCGTTCAGTCGTCATACTCGGGCGAATGGCTGTGTGGAGTTTACCCATTCTCCCGTGTCTGCATGGGTTTCCTCCCACAGTCCAAAGATGTGCAGTTTAGGTGGATTGGCGATGTTAAATTGCCCATAGTGTGCCGGATTGTTCAGACTAGGTGAATTGACCGTGGGCAATATACAGGGTTACAAAAGAATATGGTAGGAGGTGGGTTTGGGTGGGATGCTCTTCGGAGAGTCGGCGTGGAGTCGATAGGTCAAATGGTCTGCTTGCACACTGGAGGGATTCTGTGATCAGTGTTAATGAGCAGGAGCGTGGCAGCATTTTGACAGGTGCTTATTTTTCGGCGGCGGGGGGGGGGCGGATATAGTTCACAACCCAAACAGTCCACTTCACCTGTCCCCTCAACACGGTTCACTTGGAGGTCTAGTCTCAGTAACCTCATACGATGAAGTTTCACTTACCTAATGGAACCGGCAAAGATGAACTTCAAACAAGCTCTAATACGCTCCGCCCGCCTCAGCATTCCACCTCCCCTCCACCGTCGCCACCGGAACACGTCAACCGTCAACGCGCTGGCGTCAGGCGCTATTGAATGTGGGCATTGCGCATGCCTGTGGGGGCCATCTTCACCGGCTTTTTTTCCCCCTTTTGACTCCTGAGGAACACGTTTGCAGTGAGAAGATAAAACTTGGGGGGGGGCTTTCACATCAAACAGACAAGAGATAATACTTACGAGGCGTTGGCTTAGGCAGCGGCTGCTACTTGCACTGTCACAGCGTCCGCTCAGGTAAAGGAGAGATCAGTGTATTCGGTGCTGGGAAGATTTCCATGTGACTCAGGGCAGGGGTGGGGTAAGAGTTTGTGAGAGGGAGGCAGCGAGCAAGAACGTGGACATCATGGAAGCCTCGGGCCCATTGCCTTACATAGGCCGCAGCCGAGTCTACCTGTTAATAATCTTTGGACAATAAGCACAGCATTTGCTGGAGATGGCAGTTCTGTTACAGGCCTTAAATCTTAACGTTCAGGAGAGGAGGGTTGGGCAGTAGATGACGTATTTGTTAAAACAATTGGTTTTTCACGCTAATCAAATTCTGAAGAAGTGTAGCCTTTTGAATTACATTACTCCATCATGCAGTGATACAATTGAACGCTGTAGGTGTTCAAGTTTGAAACGTATATATCACGTGGAAGTTTGAGAGGAGTTGCGGCTTTTTCACTCAGTCTTTCACTTGTCAAAAATTTAACTAAGTAGCGTTCTGGTAAAAATCTTTCAAGTTGCGAACTTTTTGCCGTACTAAATGCACTACTCTGAAATACACTGTGACGAATGTGTAGATATTCAAAACCTAGAATTGTTATTATCTTAATTGAGTTGTGCCTACCTTGTTGAAATTGGTTAAAATTAGTTGTGTTTGTAGAAAATAAGGCTGATTGAAAACCCATCACGTTTATTGAGAGGCAGAGGGTTGAAGCATTACAGGAAACAGTTTTTTTAATATCGCAATTTGTAGGTTTGTCTGCTTTTGAGTCTAATATTGATCTTGTCGCATTAATTTGCAAAATGATTTAGTTATGCAATACTTGTTAAATATTCTTCAGTTTAATGGGGATGTGTTTTGGGTTTTTTTCCTATACGTTTAAGAGGTGTCACTGACAAGGCCAGGTTTTATTACTCATTACTAACTTCTCTCGAGATAGTCGGAACTGCTGACTTAAATCTCCACAGATTGTGTGGTGTAGGTATGTTCAGTGTTATTAGAAAGGAACCGCTGTCAAGTGAAGTAGTGATAGTTTGAAATCTGATCATGAAAGTAAGAGGACCTCGGTGAAATGGCAATCATAATGTAAATGGTACTAATCAAACTGGAGTTCAATTTATACCTTTCAGACCAATAAAACATTTGGTTAACAAAAGCCCAATATGATAGTGCTGTCACTTTAAGTGGTTATTTTGTCCCTTTTTTTTGGAGAGATTATACAGCAGAGCACCTGGCTACTGGACACCACTTGAGTAAACAGCTTGGGAGGCCTTTGGTGTTTTGTTTTAAAACAGCCTGAATGGTGTGGCCAGCTGTCTGATCCACATTTCTGGGTTTTGATTTTGTCTGTAGTATCAGAAGCTGTTGAGGTGTCAACAGAGTTGGAAGCTTCAGTGATTACCTCGCTGCAACTTTCTGAATTTTCTCTTGATGTTTCTTCCTCCTGGATTGGAGAACTGCATGTGAGAATCTGTTTGAATTTTCCTTTTTTTTGCCAAGGGGTGTGTTTGTGGAATGTTACTATATTGGAACAGTTAATTTGTAATAGTTACTATCTATTACTATTAAGTCTTCCAATAGAATTAAATTATTCGAAGTTCTTTAGTTGTATTTTAACGACAGTGTTTAAATTGTTTTGCTTCACATTGAGTAGATTGACCATCACATTTCACCTGGAACAGACACTTAGATTTGCCTTTAAAATTTAAAAGAAAACTTAGGGTCTAGACTACCTTAAAATAATTTGAGGGTGTTTGGTCTGATCCATAACAGCAAATGGCAATTTCCCATCAAGACACCTGTCGGCCATCATTGTGCGGAGAGTAGTTGCAACAGTGATTTTTAAAAAAACAGGAAGTATTTAATTCAATGTTTACTAATTAAGAAGCAAACCAGATATAGGATTTCCCATGATTCTCGAAGTTTACATCTTGAAGGGAGGAATTCTTTCTCTGACCCCTCACTCAGTTTCATTCTTCTTTCCCTGTTCTGTTTTGGCTGTGCCTGGGGTCCAATCTACTTGATCATTTCTCTGAAAGAGTGTTGAGAGTTCTAAGTTACTCATACACAGGTACATGAGCATCTACAGCAGATCATGGATGTAAAAGATTCTCTACTATTTTTATTTTCACCAGTTCTTGCTGAATATTATTTTTCCCAAGGCCATAACTATCCTAATCCAAATCCAAATCCAAATTATTACCGCTTAACCTCACTTTTGACCATTTCTAATCTGGGCCAAGATGAACTTTGTCCTTGGGCCTTAAAAGAGGTGGCTAATTGGCTGGTTATGTCCGTTTGTTAATTTTCCAGAATTCTCAGGTTTCAGGAAGGGTTCCAACGGACTAGAAAGTTACAAATATAACCTCCCTTCAAAAAAGGGGAGCAGAAAAAGGGTATCTTTTATAGTCAGCTTGATAGCTTGCATGTGGAAGTTAATTGTTAGAGATTGTAGCTATGCACTTCCAAAAAAAACCTGAGGTAATCGGGAAGATTTATCATGGTTTCATCAAAAGAGAATCCTGTTTAGCCAATTTATTGGAATTATTTGTAGGAATAGCATACATTGTGGATGAGGGGGAGCTTATTGGTGTAACGGATGTGGGTTTCCAAGGGTTACTGCACAAAATAAAAGCTAATGATGTAGCTGGTAACATATTAGCAGAGAGAAAAGATTGGCTGGCAGAAGATCATATAGAGGGTCTTTGGTAGGATGTGATGAGTGGGCGGGTTCTGCGAGAGTCTCTGCTAAGGCTGCAGCTTTTCGCAACTTAGATCAATAAATTAGATGAAAGGAGTGAAAGGTATGGTAACTAAAGTCACACAACACCAATTGATAGGAAAGAATATTGTGAAGAAAGCTTAGAGTTTGCAGACAGATAATTTGAGAGTGGCAAAAATCTAGTAGATAGAAGGTAATGTGATTAAAATGTGAAGTTGTCAGCTAGTCGATCTAGATGTTTTGGTGCATAAGTCACAATGAAAAATATATAGGTACAGCACAATATTTGAGATATTGTTACACGTACCTAAGTACAGTGAGAAGTTTTGCTTTGTGTGCAGTAGAGAGGCAGCTCATAACACAGTGACATACAGATGATCAGATGTTTAGACAGAACGAAGCATACAAGGTTACAGCTGCACAGGAAGTGTACAAAAGCAAGATCAACATTAGATTTGAAGTTAGAGGGGTCCATTCAGCAGTCGAGTAATAGCACGAAAGAACCTTATTGGTATGTGTGTTTAAGCTTCTGTATCTTCCTGGTGCAAGAGGTTGGAAGAGAGAATTACTGGTGTGGGAGGGGGTCTTTAATAATGTTGGCTGCTTTTCCTCTCATTAGGATAGCATCTCATTAACATTTTAGATTGAGAGGAATTGAACATAAAAGCAAGGATGTTATGCTTAAGTTATAGTGGATATTGATGAGACCATCTTGAGTATCATCCTGCATACTTTTCTTTGGTCCTCTTATTTAAGGAAGGATTTAAATGGTGGAGTTGGTTCAGAGGAAGTTTACTAGATTAATGTCTGGAATGAGTGCGGATTCTGAGGATAGTTTAGATTGTCTAGTTTGTTTCTGCAGGAGTTTAGCATGATGAGTGACTTGATGGAAAATGTCAGATTCTGAATTGTCCTAAAGGAGGTGGATGTGAAAATATGTTTGCTCTTGTAGGTGAGCCCATCATAGGGAACAATCCTTTAAAATTAAGGAGTGCCTTTTTACAATAGATAAGGGGGGCTTTTTTTTTTCCAGGATTGCGTGAAATTGGAACACTGCTTCTGATGGCAGGGGAAATGGGGCTATCATTGAATATTTTTCAGGCAGAATTGGATAAATTCTTGTTAGACAATGGAATCAAACGTTAGCAGGGTAGAATTTGAAACACTAACAGAGCAACATGATCTTATGGAATAGCAGATCAGATCTGAGGGGCTGGATGATCTACTTCTGCTTCTGTTTCTTATGTTTGTAAGTTGTGGTGTGTAGCTTCTGGAGGAACTTGCAGTTGGTCCTTCCAACATATTTGCTTTTATTCTTCTTGGTGACAGAAGTCACAGGTTTGGAAAATACCATTGAAAGAAGCTTGTTGAATTGCTGCATTGCATATTGTATAGTATTACTGTCACTGTACACTGTTAGGTGGGCTGCCGATTGAGTGGTCTGTATTATCTGAAATGATTTTGAGCTTTGAGTGTTGTTGAAGCTGCACTCATTCTAGGGAAATGAAGATTATTGTGGTTATTCTCCTTGCACAGACCACAGGACAACTCGTATGCAGGTTAACTTCATGTTTATGCAAACAATCTCTACCCACCTCTCTGCCCAATATCTGTCCAGTCTGATGATTCTCTGATTATGTACAGAAAGTTATTGACCTTTAAGCCCTCATGGTCGCACATAGACATTATTTAAATTTAATCATTGGACATTAAACAGAACTCTTCTGTTCTATGTTCTTCTCTTATCCAGTGTACAGGAATATGCACATATACTCTCCAGTTTGCTCTCGATGTTGATACAGGTATTGGGGTGTACAATATTCCCCTCTAGTAATTTCTGCTGCTGTGTGTCCATAGGGTGTTTCAAGGTTCTTGCCTGCAAAAACGTGCATTACGGTACTAGCTTGTCTTACTCCTGTTGGTATCCCTTCTTTATCAAACTTTATTGAATTTCTTCTACATTTTACCGCTGTCTTTGACCTAGCCCAATAGAATGTAGAACAATACAACACTGGAGCAGGCCCTTAAGCCCATCAGCTGTGTGCCTACACGGTGCCATTCTAAACTAATCCCTTCTGCTTGCATGTGGTCCATATCCCCTCTTTCCCTAACTGTTCATGTCTGTCTAAATGCCTCTTAAATATTGCTATAACATTTGCTTCTGCCACCTCTCTTGGCAGCGCAATCCAAGCATCTACCACCCTTTTTAAAAAAAAAACACTTGTTCTCTCACTTCTTCTCCTTTAAACTCTCCTTTTCCCCCAAGTATTTGACATTCTCATCCTGGGGGAAAGACTGAGTATCCACCCGATTCACGTCCCTCATAATTTTACATACTTGTTTCAGGGTGACCCTCAGCCTCTGATGCTTTAGCAAAAAACGATCCAAGTTTGTCCAAATTATCCTTGTAGCTCTCCAATGCAGTCGAAATCCTGGGTAAACCTCTTTTGCACCCTCTCCTAGGTAAACCTATTTTCTCACCCTCTCGCCCTGGAATTGTTTCGCTGTTCCCAAACTTCCCACTGAAACTTGGCCAGGCTCATTCCACAGTACTATGTCTAGTATGGCCCCTTTCCTAGTTGGACGTTTTGTTTCAGGGAGCCCTGCTGAATGCTTCTAACAATTTCTGACCCAACTAAGCCCCGACACTTGGAATCCCAGACAACATTGGGGAATTTAAAATCACCTACTAAAAACAACCCCGTTGATTTAAATCTTACCGTGATCTGTCTACATATGTCACTCTCCCAAGTGGCACTAGCAAACTTTCCTGCAAAGATTTTGGTTTCTCTCCAGTTTAGGTGAAAGCCATCCGTCATGTCCAGGTCCCTTTCAGCCTGCAAGAAACCCCAATGATCCAGTTATCTGAAGCCCACCCTCCTACGCCAGTTCTTCAGCCATACATTCAACTATATTATCTTGCTACTTCTGGCCTCATTACCCTGTGGCACAGGGAATAATCCTGAGATTACAACCCTGGAGGTCCTGCTTTTCAACTTGCTACCTGACTCTCCAAATTTTCTTTTGCAGGATTGCATCTCTTTTCTGCCTTTGTCATTACTACCAATGTGGACAACAACCTCTGGCTGCTCACCCTCCCCTTTCAGAATGTCCTGCGACATCCTTGACCCTGGTAACACAGCATTCTGGAGTCTCACTTGAGACCACACGGATGCCTGTCTAAAACAACTGACTATAGGGTCCCTCTATTACTACTGCTCACTTGCACTTTGGCCCTCCCTGCTGTACAACAGAGCCAATTCGTGGTGCTACTGATTTGGCTGCTGCTGTTGCTTTCCCCACAAGAGCCCGCCACCCTCACTAAATATATCATCCATAATGTCCTCTGCATCCATAGATGCTCCACAGTGAGTCAGTCTGTTTCTCCCAACTGTTTCTTGTAGTCAGTCAGAAGCTGCAGCTGAATGCACGTCCAGCGTACGTGGTCACCGTACGTAGATACTGGAAGTGTTCATGATTTTCCCCAAAATATGTAGCAATTTTCAGTGGTAGTGTAATTTCTTTTTACACTCCTCCACCTGTTGACACTAGCCAGGAATCTATCAGCTTGAAGTTGTAAAGTTACTAAGTCAGACAGACTATCTCAACTAGTGGGTCTTCAGTTTAGGCTGTTGGTCTGTTACCATACAAGTTTGGTTACTTAATTTCTTGGTTATGTATCAAAGTTACATAAAGCTACCAGAACTGTCAATATCAAGTCTTGAACAGCTACTAAACATACTAAACTAAGTATAAACCCAATGTTCTCAACCAATGGGTCAGACCAAAATTAAATATTAGGTCATACCAGGCATGTTGTCCTACCTTTTCAATTTCTTTTGTTTGGCTGGACCATTTTTAAACAGTTGATTTTCTGAGGTAATGGTCCTATCTAGAATTGATCTGCGGTTTAGAGACAGAGGGGATTGTGTGGCCGATTAGAGAGAGAGCGAGAGACACACAGAAAGTAGCAAGTGCCTTACTCAAAATGGTGACATGCTGTATGGAACTTCCAGTCACAGTTGTTAGTGTGTTGGAAGTGGAAAGTAAGCTTGCAAATGAGTAAATATCTATGGACAATAGGGACAAGTAGTGTTCCACATTAGTTTGAGCTGAGTGAGGACTGTGTGTGATAATTGGCAGGATTTCATTGCCCATGGTTGACGGGATGTCATGAGACTTCGAGTCCAGAGTCAATGTTGAGCACTACCAGGATCACCCCTTCCCAAATACACGCAACTGTACCCCCACTTCTGGTTGATCCATCTTGCTGATGAGAGAGGGCATACGTAGAGGTGGTGATTGAGGAATCTGGAACATTGGAAGTAAGGTATGATTCTGTTTTAGCCTGTGACATGTGTCTCAATTTTGACATTGGTGCTGTATCTCGGTGACTTTGAACGATTGACTGGGCAGGATGTGTATTTGTCAGTTCAATACCAAGATCAATTCTTGTAGACTACTCAGTTGTATTGTTCAACGTTTTGTCAGCAACTTGATGTGCCTGAACACCGTACTAGGCTATTTCAAACGGTAGTAATAGTCAGCGCAGAGTGTATTTCCCATCATAAATAAACTAGGCAAGGTAGGGATGACAGCTTTCCTCCTTCAAAGAGCATTAGTGAATTTGGTTTTCATAAAGTTGGTAGTTTCACAACTGTGGTAGCTGATACTAACTTTTATTTTAGATTTATTGAATTTTAAATCATCTAGATCACCAGTTGCTTCTAAATTGTCTTTTTACATTTTCAATGTTATTGTTTCTGAAATTTTTGTAATGTATTTGTTTATATAAATGATTTGGATGTGCATATAGGAGGTATGGTTAGTAAGTATGCAGATGACAGCAAACTACATGGTGTAGTGGACAATAAAGAAGATTCTGTGTACAATGGGACCTTGATCAGATGGGCCAATGGGCTGAGAAGTGGCACATGGACTTTAGTTTAAATATGAGGTGTTGCATTTTGTAAGGTAAACCAGGGCAGGATTTGTACAGTTAATGGTAGGGCCCTGTGGAGTAGTGCCAAACAAAGAGACCTAGGGGTGCATAGTTACTTGAAAGTGGAGTCACTGGGTAGGCAGGGTGGTGAAGGTGGTGTTTGGCCTGCTTATCGTCATTAGTCACAACATTAAGTATACATGTTGGAATGGCATGTTGTGGCTGTACGGAACATTGGTGAGGCCACTTTTTTAGAATACTGCATACTATTGATTGCCCTTCTATAGGAAGGATGTCATTGAACTTGAGGGTGCAGAAAAGATTTACAAGAATATTGCTGGGGCTGGAGGGTTTGAGCTATAAGGAGAGTCTGAATAGGCTGGGACTTTTCTCCCTGGAGCATCGGAGGCTGAGTGGTGACCTTAGAGGTTTATAAAATCATGAGGGGCATGGATAGGGTGAATAGCCAAGGTCTTTTTCCTGGCATGAGGGAGTCCAAAACTAGAGGGCATAAGTTTATGGTGAGGGGGGAAAAATTTAAAAGGGACCTGAGGGATGTCTCTTTCGTGCAGAAGGTGGTGCCTGCACAGAATGAGCTGCCAGAGGAAGTGATGGAGGTGGGTACAATTACAACATTTTAAAAGTCATCTGGATGTCTGTATAAACTGAGGGATATGGAACTACTTCAAATTGGGACGTCTGGTCAGCATGGATGAGTTGGACCAAAGGGTCTGTTTCTGTGCTGTATGACTCTGACTCTATAATTAACATTACACACTGGTGTACTTTTTTCCTGTAAGTGAGGTGTTTCTGATTAATGGATTTTTTATTTGTTGTCTGTAGACTGAGGTTGCTTTCTGGCATGATACAAAGTTTTTCTTGTCAAGATATAAGCTCACTGAGGCAATATGGCAGATAAGCTAACCAGAATTGCCATAGTCAGCCATGATAAATGCAAGCCCAAGAAATGTCGTCAGGAGTGCAAGAAGAGCTGTCCAGTAGTTCGAATGGGTGAGCAGCTTAATTTTTCTTGTATTGTAGTAGATAGATGAGAAGAAAGATAAATAAATGTATGCAAATCTGTTAGTGGCATATTAACCTTTTGTAATTCTTTATATGATGGAAAAGATCAATTTGTTGTTTACGTTCTATCCCTTTAAAACTTTTTAGTAAGTCTGTAATGTGTTAATAAAAACCTTACATTTTTTAAACAGCTGTTGGTGAGCCCAAAAAGTGCCCTAAATCAGTGGAGTATAAGTAAACTTCTTACTTCCAATAAAAAAGAACTAAGACTTTGATAGCACCTTTCGTGTAATAAAAAGCCAATGTGCTTCATGAGCTTTATAAAACAAAATTGAGTACACTGCCTCGTAAAGTGATATTAAGATAGATGACCGAAAGCTTAGTCAGAAAGATAGGTTTTAAGGTACATCTTAGAGGGGAGGGAGGTAGAGAGGCAGTTAATTAAGAGAATTCTAGAGCTTAGGGCCAGATGGTTGGAATTGTTCCAACTTGGTTTTGTTCAATATCTTGTAATAGCCGCTGTTCTCACTTTTCTGTAATCAACCTCTGCGTTCCTCCAAGGGGGTATCCTTGATCACCTCTCTTCAACAGCATGCTAAACAATTTTTTTTTAAGAAAGCTTGTAATAAAATATTCATTTCTAATGAAAGCACTGATCAGTAACGATGCATGCCCCCCTGCCATAGGGGCGGCACGGTGGCTCAGTGGTTAGCACTGTTGCCTCACAGCACCAGGGACCCAGGTTCAATTCCACCCTCAGGCAGCTGTCTGTGTGGATTTTGCACATTCTCCCCGTGTCTGCGCGGGTTTCCTCCGGGTGCTCCGGTTTCCTCCCACAGTCCAAAGATGTGCAGGTTAGGTGGATTGGCCAGGCTAAATTGCCCGTAGTTTTCAGGGATGTGTAGATTAGGTGGGTTATAGGGGGATGGGTCTGGGTGGGATACGCCAAGGGTCGATGTGGACTTGTTGGGCCAAAGGGCCTGTTACCACACTGGAGGGGTTCTATGATTCTATTCTATGAAAGTTTCGTCTGTAATTTTCTATGCTTTAATTTCTGTTGTCAAAATATGGTCTTAAAGTAGATTCAAAAAATTAAACCACAGCAAATTGATTTATTTATCTCCATTAAATTCATTCAACTATTTTAAAGCATCAATTAAAAATTTTCAATTGTCAGGTGTCTGTATAAAAGACATTATCCTGATTATGCACGGTTAACTGTTATATTCCATGAACTGCTGAAGCATCTTTGGCTGGATTTTGAGGAATGGCAGACGCACTTAGATTATTACTCTGCTCTCTCTTTCGCATTCAAAAAGAGCTTTATATTTTTGCCAGGAGATTTTGATCAGGCCTCCGTCAGAAATGCAAAATGTACTCCAAATCCCACAGGTCCCTCATAGTTCAGGGTAGTCAAACCATATCCCGCTTTCCACAGTAGTTGTTTTATTCTGTGATTTAAATGTCCAACATCCCAGAAGGTTCAATAGATCCTGGAAAATAAGAGGTTCATGTGCCAGGCACATAGCAGAGGAGTGTGAGGTGGTAGCTCTTGGGTCCTAGGGAGAGAGGTTGTGGGTGAGGGAGTCTGCAGTCTATGGGGAATGAATATAGCATGTTGGGTTGAGGGGTCGTTTTGGGAGTCGGGGTGGATGCTGGATCTCAGTGGGATGAGGGGTGTTATCAGATCAGGGTCCAGGAGATGTGTATAGTTGGGGAAATGTATGGTAAATTGAGGGAATCAGTTTAATAGCTACCGAGGATTAGACTGTTTTTAATTGTCTAATCTTTTCCTGAATCGCTATTTACTGCAACAGAAATCTCTCAAATCTCTGATTTCAGTGGACCCTTTGAGAGTTCCAGGCATGGTCAAATTGTCAATCAGAATCTTCAATTTCCTTGACGATACCCACAGAGTCTGTAAAGTCATGGAATCTGCTTGGTCCCAATGTGCAGCTTCCACCCATGCTGCAGAAATAATTATCTGGCCATCAGAAAATTTGGTGCTGTTTAATTTATAAGTTCTTTCCTTCCCATAATGTGAATTTTGAAGCAAATAACCTCAAGAGTCCAGTCCTAAATGATTTTGAAGCTTTTAACAGTTTAATTTTGGTCAATTCAAGGCCATTCAGATTACATCCCAAGAGAGCCATTTTGTTGGAGATGCAGTATAACTGCTGCATTCTACTCTATAATAGAATAGGAGAGCACCATTCAGGTCATTAAGCCTACTGTACAGTTCAAACTGATCATGACTGATTTGTACTTCAACTCCGTTTACTGGACTTAACTCAGTATCCCTAGATATGCTTAAACCAATGAAAAGCTATCGAGCTCAATCTTAATCTTCAGTTGTCAGAACTGAAGCCTTTTAGGGCAGAGCGTTGTGAAAGTGTTTTCTGATTTTCTTAAATGGCCTGGCTCTAATTTTGAAATGTCCCCATGTTCATGATTTCCCCAACATTGGAAATAAATTTTCTTTTTTGCCCTGCTTAAATGACGCCCCTACTTAATTATCTAAAGGGAATAGACGACCAATATATGCAGCCTGCCCTTATTTAATCCTCAGCTTCACTCAGCAGGAACTCATGGCACCCCTTCCAAGATCAGTGCTTTAAAATGTATTTTGTGATGGGATGTGGGGATTGCTGACACAGCGAGTATTTGTTGCCTGTCCCTAATTGCTCTCAATGGCAATATAAGCTAGACCAGGTGAGGTCAGCAAACATCCTTCCCTAAAGGATGTTTGTGAACCAGATTTTTTTTTACAACAAACAACAGTAGTTGTATGGTTTCCATTGGGTGAGCTTTTTAATGTAGATTTTTATTGAATTCAGATTCCACCATCAGCCATAATGGGATTTGAATCAAGTCACCAAGGCATTAACCTGTGGTTCTGGATTGCTAGTTTAGTGACATTGCAGCAAAGCTACTACCTTACACGCTCATGATTTTCTTAAATTACATTTAATTATTTCTTCTATCTATTATATAATTTATAATATAATAAATAAAATTAAATTATAAAACAAGCCAGTTAAATGCAAATTTAGAAAGTTCAAATAAAAATATCTCTTTTGCATTTTTTGTTTGTAGGAAAGCTTTGTATTGAAGTTACTGCTCAAAGTAAGATTGCCTGGATTTCAGAAACTCTCTGTATTGGTTGTGGTATTTGCATTAAGGTAAAATATGTGCTTCCTGGGAAGCTGTTGCGATGCCAGCTAAAATTGAAGTTTTAAATGTTGCTGATTTCTTAAGTACATCACTTTATTGACTGTGTTACTTCTGCAAATAGTTTGCATCATTGGAATCTCATTGTTTTCAAAGTCATGGCATTTTTCAATAAAATTTATTTGTTTTGTTCCGTCTAATCATGTCCAGAACTATTGTATTGGATCTGTTCAGCATTAACTACCTGAAGTGTTGCTAAAGTACTACTTTTATCTTGAGTTGTTACTGGATAAACTAGAAACTATTGCTTATGGGGTGAACATGTTACCTTTTTGTGAGCTAAAAATATAGTCAGTTTTCAAGAAGGCAACAGCACCCCATGTTTGCTTGTGCTGATGTGTCCTGTTTCCTAATCCCTGCTCTTCCCATCTTTTTATTGGCCTTGTTGCAATTGTCCTTTTTCCCTCAGTGGGATAATTTCCTTGTTAAATCAGATTATTTTCTTTATGGCAAAATTGACTAGCTCAGCATAGATTGGAATTGAATCTGTTACTACTTGGTCAGTATAGCTCTGCTGCTTGCTATATTTCTCAACTGAGCATTGGAACAGTTTATTGTAGTTTATACATAGCACTATAAATGATACATTACACGTGTTTGCCATCTGAATACTTAAATGAAATGCATAAATACTCGTGGTTTTTAGTGGGTGATGAATCCTAGAATGGTTACAGTACAGGAAACGCTTTTCAGCCTGTTGTGTGCTGATTCTCTTAAGGAGCAATTCACACAGAGCTACTCCCTTGCTTTGTCCCTGTAGCCCTACGTATTCATTCTCTTATGATAATCCATTTCACTCTTGGAGGCATGCTCATCAAGGCATTCATCACATTCTCGGACAATGCATTCTAGAACCTTACCAGTTCCTGCATGAGTGCTAACCTAAACAACAGTACAGCACTAGATGCATGGCTGCCCAGAAGCAGCAGCATGTTCTCGACAGAGCAAAATGATCCCCATAACCAATCCATCAGAGCAAAGTGCTACAATCTTGCCATATCTAATCATCAGGGGCAGAACACCTAACTGGAGAATAATCCATAAACGTTGCCTCCCCCAAAGATGATAGAGCCCATCAATTCATAATTAAAAGACTGAAGCAATTAGCCATCTTCGGTCGGAAGTGATATGAGTGGATTATCCATCTTTGCCTCCTGCGCACCCAAGCATTGTAGATTTGGTCCAATACCAATTTGATTTAAAAAAACTAAAATCACTGGATACCATAAAGGCTAGCTAAAGTTCAATGTAAAAAGATTTCTCTCATTTATCATAACATTTGCATTTTTATACATGTTTCTTGCAATCCTTTCAGTGATAGCCTTACCATCCCTCCCCCACCTTAAATTCTTAGTCTTCTTTCTGAATGCTCTGATTTCTGGGATCAGATTGTATGTTCCTCACACACAGATTTATACAATTGTAGGGAATGTGGTAAGATTTGCATATAATTTTTCTCAGCAAATATTCAATATATAGTTACAGTAGATTTTTAAAATTTATTTCTCTTTTTTGTACTCCTTTTAGATTGTAGTTGGTTCATTTCTGGAAGTTCTTCCAAAATGTATTTATTCAATTATTTTCCATTTATTATTAATTATGCAAAATCATTTTAATTCTGGTAGTGTTGTCAATAGTCAGTTGCAAATTATGTAATGTTAACATTTTGTTAATTATATTTTTCTTTTTCCTGTTTCAGAAATGTCCTTTTGGGGCTTTGTCAATTGTTAACTTGCCAAGCAATTTAGCTAAAGAGACAACACACAGATACTGTGCAAACTCCTTCAAACTTCACAGGTAATGATGTTGAAAAATTTGAAAGGTTTGAGAATCATAAAGTCATAGTCTACAGCACAGAAAAAGGTACTTGGGCTCATTGAGTCTGTGCCAGTCAGAAGCAAACCACCTAACTATTCTAATTCCAATTTCTAGCATTTGGCCCATAACCTTGCACTCCTTGACATTACAAGTGCACATATGAATACCTTTATGCTTAGATTTTGAGATTATGTAATGAATGTTCATAAGATATATTAGTGCTTCTGTTTAGTTACTATTCCACAAAGAAGACGAATTCACCTTTGAGCTCATTAGTTTTGTCCTTTTTAGAAGTGAAGCTTATTTTTGAAAGATAAGACCATGATGAGGGATATTGTGCCTTGAATGAATTGCTTGATATTTGATATAACACTGGCCCAGGACTAAGCACTAAAATATCTTGTTGAATGTTCAGGGAATAATGCTTCTGTCAACAGAGTTAACAGTAGTTGCTGTTTCTAAAAGCACAGCTTTAGCTTTAGCCGTGCTTTGTGGAGTGCTTCAGCATGTGTTGGGATATCTGATGAAGTTCTGTATCTGTGAGCTAATCATAGAATCTGAGTCATGCTGCACGGAAACAGACCCTTCAGTCCAACTCGTCCATGCTGACCAGGTATCCTAAACTGAACTAGTCATATTTGCCTCCATTTGACCTATGTCCCTCTTAATACCCTTCCTATTCATGTACCTGTTGAAATGTCTTTTAAATGTTGTAATTGTACCTGCCTCCACCCCCTCCAGTGGCAGTTTGATCCATATACACACCATCCTCTGTGTAGAAAACGTTGCCCCTCAGCTTCTTTTTAAATCTTTTCCCTCTCACTTCTATTTTTGGACTCCCCTACCCAAGGGGAAAAAAACTTGGCTGTTCACCTTTATCTATGCTGCTCATGATTTTATAAATCTCCGAGGTCACCCAGCAGCCTTCTACGCTCTTCCTTCCCCATCCCCCCCACCCAAAAAAGAGTCCCAGCCTATCTCTATAACTCAAACCCTCCACTCTCAGTAATGTGCTTTGTAATTCTTTTCAGCACCCTTTCCAGTTTAATAACATCTTTCCTATGGCGGAGTAACCAGAACTATATGCAGTACTCCAAAACTGGCCTCACCATTGTCTTGTACAGCTGCAACGTGACATCCTAACTCTTGTATTCGATGCTCTGACTAATGAAGGCAGATGCTTCCTTCACCACCCTGTCTGCCTTTGCTACTTTCAAGGAACTATGTACATAAACGCCAAGATCTGTCTTTTGACAACAGTCACCAGAGTCCTACCATTAATTGTGCAAGTCCTGCCCTGGTTTGTCTTACCAAAATGCAACATCTTTGCATTTTATCTAAATTAAACTCCGTCTGCCATTCCTTGGCCCATCAGAGGTCACACGACATGAGATTATAGGTTTATTTGAAATCACAAGCTTTGAGCACTGCTGCTTTGTCAGGTGACCTGTTGGACTATAATCTGGTGTCATGTGACCTCAGACTTTGTCTCCTTCAGTCCAACACCACCACTTCCTCATATATTCTCATCCAAATTATTTAATGACAAACAACAGCGGACCCAACACCGATCCTTGCGGCACACCAAGGTCTAAGGCCTCCAGTCTGAGCAACAACCCTCTACCACCACCCTCTGTCTCCTACTGTTAAGCCAATTTTATATCCAGTTGGCTAGCTCTCCCTCGATCCCACGTGATCTAACCAGTCTACCATGCAGAACCTTGTTGAAGGCTTGCTAAAGTCTGTTCAGACAGTATCTTCCACTCTGCTTTCAACTATCTTCTTGGTCATGTCTTCAAAAAATTTAATCAAGTTTGTGAGACACAATTTCCCATGCACAAAGCCATGCTGACTATCCCTAATCACCTCTTGCCTTACCAAATGCATGTAAATCTTGTCCCTCAAAATCCCTTCCAGCAATCTACCCGCCACTGACATCAGGTTCAACACTCCATACTTCCCTGGCTTTTCCTTGCAGTGCTTCCTAAATAAAGGCACAGCATCAGCCATTCTCAGTCTTCTGGCACCTCACCCATTGCTGTTGATATAAATATCTCAGCAAGGGCCCCTGTAATTTCTTCCCTAGCTTCCCACAATGCCCTGGAAGACACTTGATCAGGTCCTGGGGATTTATCTACTCTTCTGCATTTTAAGACTTCCAGCACCACTATTTCTGTAGTATGGACTCTCTTTTTTGAAAACATCACTATTTCTTTCCCCAAGTTCCCTAGCTTTCATGTCTTTTTCCACAGGAAATAGTAATGCAAAATATTCGTTTAGGATCTCACTCTTCTCCTATTGTTCCACATGTAGACAGCCCCATTGATCTCTATGGGGTTATTAGCTATTTTGTAATACTTTATTGTTACATTTGGGTACTGAGTATATTATCTATTACATTTTGTGATCCATTGAACACAAGGCCCCTGGAGAAAAGGGGGACGTTCTTAAATAGCTTCCAGAATTACTCCTTAAAGCTGTCATTGAGCCTAGACAATAGTCTATAATGCTCTAATCTACCTACACCAACATTATCCCATCATGGGACCTTTGGTTTTGATCCTGAGCTCCATACTATGTTTAAATAGGAAGTGACGATTGGATGATCTATCTCAGCCTCCTGAACTCCAAGTATCTCATATGCCAGTTTAAAGCTGGCATCAAAATTTGTAACAAAGCTAATGTAACATGAGCTTTTCCTGTATTCATTTTGTGTCAATGTTTTAGCTGCTCTAGACCACTCTCTTTCCACTTTTTTTTTTTTTTTAAATTCTATTCCTCATTTCCCCTCCAAGACTCCTCTTTTGAATTGCAATGGGCCCCTTTCACGTCTCCAATCTCGGGTCCCCTGAATTCCAATTTCTCAGCAAAACCTTTCAAAGCTCTTTGACTTTCCTGCTGCCTTGACTGAATCTGGATATGACTGCCTTTTTAATTAGGTGACCACTTCCCTCTGCACCTCTCTCAATCCTCTGACAGATTTGATGATGCACTGAGCAGTGCACCTGCTGAAGGCCAATCTTGACGTCCAACTTGCCCCTCTCACTCCTATCTTTACTCCACTGGACACTACACTTGCCATTCCTCAGTGCATCTCCCTGTAGAATGTCTGTTTATCTGGGAGCAAGGGCCTTGTGATCCATGAACCTATTGTAAATTATTACTTCAGTATGATGGCCTTACTGAAAACCTGGTTGAAGGATGAATTCTCCTTACCTAGCTGTATCTTCCATCATTTGACCCGTCAATACTGTAACAGTGACAATGTGGCATTTATCTACAAATCTCACTTTGGCCTGAACACCTCTCCTGCCATTTCCTCCTCCATTCGAACTATTAAACTTGTTTTACTCACTCTCTCTCAAAGTCATTGTTCTAACAAAAAGAAATTTGAGATTTCTTCAATACATGAATAACTTCCATCATACCTCATGGTTATTTAGGTTTTCTACCTTCTTATCCTCCCTAGCTACCCCTCAAAGCACTTTCATCATTAGCCCCTCTACTGTGCCATGTCATGTGATCCTGCTAGGGCCATTGTGTTGATCAAGGTAATTTTTCTTAGTCTTTGTCTGCATCCCATTTCCACTCCCAAACCTTACTCCTTTGATCATCCATCGTCAAACTATCCCCCAGTTCTCTAACAGTTGCTCTTTCAAAATCATACCAGGAAAACCTGTGGTCTTCCATGTATCGTATGGTTTCTACAGCCACTGATTTTTGCTGAAATGCATTCTCATTTCTATCTTTGAGACTTAGGACATTAATAAAATTCATACTTGCTCTTACTCAGGCCTTTTCCCTCACTCTGGCATTTGTCATCTTTCCCTTAACTCCAGACAACTCAAACGTGAAAGAAAAGGAAGTTTATCCATCCTCTACCAGTTTCTTTAGATATCAGTAAAGACTTTCAGCCCAGCTGTAGTGTTGGCAATAATGACCACCACCACCCACCCCCATCCCCGCTCCCGTAAATCATCTTATTTAAATATTCTCCCTCAAATCCTCCACCCTTGCCTCTAACAAGATGTGCAAGGAACTGATTAACATGTTTGTGCCTTCTGTAAATCTGCTGTAATTAACCCCCACCCCTCAAAACAGTTGATCCCTTTGTCCTTTTAAATAAATGCTTCGTTCCCAACCTCACTTTTCTTCACAAAGTCCTCGAAAGTGTTGACCCCTCCCAAATCCATGCTCTCCTTTTCCAGAGTTCTGTTTGAATCTTTCCAGTCAAGTTTCTGCGTTTAGAAGTGTATCACAAATGGCACTTATTGAAATCATAGGACATCTTAAATGTGCCATACTATTCTCCACTTGTCTTACTTGAGTTATTTGTAATCTTTTGACGCAGTTGTCTACATTATTTTCCTTCAGTCTTTCCATTGCTTTTAGCTGAGCCGGTCTGTTTTACCTGACTCTTATCTGTCTAATCACTGCCGAGATATCACTTGCAACGGCTTCTCTTCCCCTCTCATGCTGTTTACTGTAGTGTCCCTGATGGATCTGTTGGTTTCTTTCTCATCTGCATGCTGCCCCATGCCATCACCCAAAAATTTGTTTTGGTAAGTATGCTGACCCTACCTCACTGTTTTCTGTCAACTCCTCCACTGTTGCCAAATGATCAGTTTGCCTATTTAAAAATCCAGTAGCAAATGAGTGGAAATTTCTTCCACTTAAATGTTAGGAAGACTGAAAGCCATTATTTTCACGTTCAGTTCTGTAGCTACCAAATTCATGCCTCTCCCTGGCAACAGTCTGAGACTAGACTAGTCAGTTCACAACTTGATTTAATATTTAATTCAACAAGGAGATTCTAAACACATTTACACGATCACTCACTAAAATTGTCCATTTCATATTTTATAACATTGCCCCTGTCTGGCTCAACAGCTGCTGAAATCAGTTTCCCTTCCTTATTACTACTTGGCTTGATTGATTGAATATGCTTTTGGTCTGTCCCCCAGATTCTATGCATCATTAAATTGAAGGTCATTCAAAATATGCTGCATGTGCCTTTTAATTTACACCTTATCCCTATCACATTTACAACCAATCAAGCAATTCCTTGATTTTAAAAATCTTTTTTTCCTTCCATGGCCTCATCCTCTCTATTTCTGTAGTATCCAGCCTAGCAACCCTTAGAGATATCAGTATTCATCCAATTCTGACCTCTTGAAAATCCCAGTTTTTACTTCTTATCTTGGGGGGCTGCGTCTTCAGTTACCTAGGCCCTGTGTTCTGAAAATCTCTCCTTTCAGTTATTTGTTTCAAGCTTTTGGTCATGTGGCCTAATATCCCAGTATCATACTTTGTTTTATAATACTCCTGTAAAGCACTTTGAATATTTTCTTATGTAACAGGTATTTCATAAATGAGTTGTTGAAGCAAACTAAGGCTTCTGATTGTCTTTCTACTTCTCTGATATTTAGAGCAGCTTTAAGGATGTCAGGCACACTAAGGGGTAAACATGCTGGGCAATAACTTGACTTTTTCTTGGAGAAGCATCAGACCTGGACCCGAAATGATAATTTTGATTTCTCTCCACAGGTGCTGCCAGACCTGAGCTTTTCCAGTAATTCATGTTTTTGTTCCCGTTCAGTGAATGCTTATTTTTCTAGACAAATGTTGCACAAAGTGAAACCCTGTAATATTATACCATTCTGCAAATGATTTATGAAATTCTTATGAATCTTGGCAGAGTATAATTGAATAATTTGAAATTATTATACTTACATCTAGTAAGTTGTAAAATTATTTCTGTGTCATCTTTGAAGCTGAACATGTCAATATGCAAGTATGATATTAATTTTAATGTAAGTTCTCTTTTTTAAAAAAACATCATTCGTCAATAAAGTACACTTTGAGAAGAGAAGTTAGTAATTGATCAGGCTTTCCAGGTTTTTTTTCTTTTTGGCAACATATCTTTAATTATCTGGAATTTAATGAAAGGAGTTTTGAAATCCTCTGCCTCTGACCTGAATGTAGACCACATGCAAACTTCAACTTGCAAGATATTTCATTATGTTTAACTTTGTTTAGGTATGACTTGTGTACAAGTAATGCAAGTTGCAGTATTTTCAAAGCTGAGTACATTTTAATAATTCATTTGAATTTTAGGTTGCCTATTCCTCGACCTGGTGAAGTTTTGGGTTTGGTGGGAACAAATGGGATTGGAAAATCCACAGCTCTGAAGATTCTAGCAGGAAAGCAAAAACCTAACCTGGGAAAATATGATGTAAGTTTTCTCGGAGTGGTTTTGTTCATGGAAATGTGTAGTGAAAAAAATTGCAGATTTAATAATCCGTCAAGTGGTTTTGCCAATATTGCTGCGTGATCTGAGCACTAAATATTTTAACAAATCAATTTGTTGTATTGTCTAAAGCTTAAACTGCTATAAGTGGAAAGTGTATTGTGGTAACTGCAATAGTTTTACTCATTGACCATTAGATTGTAATTTTTTTGATGCACTGCCTATAAATCTGCATAATGGTAGAGTGATGTCTTTAAAGAAACATCCCCCAAATAGTTTTAAATGCCATAGTCCCAGAATTATATTTTTGTTTTCTAGTTGTCATGGATACATTTGAATGAAACGTACTTTGGCATATTCTGTGTTTTCTAAAAATATAGCAAGTTTTAGTATTGGAAACTTGTTTCTTGATTAATGTGCCTGATGTCCTTGATATGATCTCTATAGAGATGAGCAATTTTTTTGTTTTTTTTTTCAGGAAGCCCAAAAGCCAGGTATTACTAAAAGGATGAAGTCTCAATGTTCATTGATTAAAACAGAAAAATTCCACTACGTAAAAACAAATTTAAACTTGAATACCAATTAATTTGATCTAGCTTCAGTAGTCAGTTATATTGTGTAGTCCAAAGTAGCATGAAGACAGCTACTTGTACTCTGTCCTGAACACACATTTCCTTCTGCACCCCTTTGATTTGCACCCTCAACTTGTCAGGTATTCATCATGAATTAGCAAGTTAACAATTCTATCCGAGTGCTATTTCATGGATTTATAGAAGGATTGGGGTTTCTTGGATGTTGTTTACTTCCAGTAAGGCTGTCTGTCCCTTCAGATTTCCTCCAAGTGTCCTACAGTTGTAGGCTCCCAGTTCAACACTAGGCATCGTTAGTGTTCTAAGTGTTACTATCTCTGATCAGAACTTTGCTGGTTCTTTGACTCTTGACTTTTTTTCTCTCCTTTGTGCATCTGTGCCCAATTCTTTTTGGTATCCCAGGTACCCAGCTTGCCATCTCTTGCGCAGCATGGTCACTTGACAAGTTGATGGAAACAAGTTATTTTCTTCCAGAGAAACCTGGTTTTTAAAGGAACCACAGTTCTAACAAAATGTAGCAGTTTTTTGGCAAAAGCCATGAAAAAGTTGCACTCTTTATGAGTAATAAACTAATTGTTCTCATAACAGGACCCTCCTGACTGGCAGGAGATTTTGACTTATTTCAGAGGTTCTGAACTACAGAACTATTTTACAAAGATCCTAGAGGATGATCTCAAGGCTATCATCAAACCCCAGTATGTGGACCAGATCCCAAAGGCCGTAAAGGTAATTTTAAAACCAAGTTGCACATAATTTCAACAAATGTGGCTATACTTACAAATTATACAGTCTGCATTTTAGGAATAATCTTGTGCACTACTGAATGATCCATCTTGTGAGACTTGAATCGGCAGCATTTGTATCTTTTATTGAAAATACACCAAATGTTCTCTCAGACCTTTTTAAAGATTTTATCTATCTTCATGAATTTAAAAAAACACAGGAGTTACCTCTAAGGTTTTATTGCTTTTGGTGCAAAAAAAATGCCTAAATTATTTATCTCGACATTAAGTTCACTGGTAATACAATTGAATTGAGATCATTTGGGTCACTCCAGCACATAATGCAAAGTTAAATTGTTGAATTCACTACAACATGAATTCCAGAGGTATCTTATATGTCTATCAAGTGTGATTATGTTTTCTATTTTTTTGTTTTGCTGATTTTGATGATGAGTGAATGCTTGTGTACTTTCGAAGAAATTTGAAATTCCACCTGGACAGATCTAGTACAAGCCTTCCTTACAGAGGAGACCATTAATAATACAAAATAAGAGGCTTAGTCAAACTAAAAATGCTATCAGTTAACGTGTAGTTTTTGTCATTTAACATGTAGTCTACATCTTATGGTCACTAACTTTGAGTAAACTAATAGACACTTTGATTTCATGAAACGACCACAATATGCACAGTGGCAGACAGTCAAAACACTCCCAGCCTACAGTCCTAATTATCCTAAACCTGCATGTAGCTGTTTTCATCAGACCCAGAATTAGACCTGAGATTCTCTAGTCAGTTTTTCTTTCTCCTTTGGCAACTGGTGACAGTGGTTTTGGATATGAACTGAAACTAGAAAGCCAATTTAAATAGGAACATTGGAAGAGGAATGGGCCATTTAACTGCTCAAGTATTGTTCCATCACTCAGTTAAATGATGTCTGAACTAGGATTTAACTGTATACTGACCTTTGCTTCATGCCCTTTGAAACAGTGCCAGCATTTAAAGTCGGTTTATATCTGCCCATGAGAAGGTGAGCAGTTACCATGAATCCTTGCAGTCCTTGGGGTGTAGGTGCTGTTATGAATGGAGTGCCAGAATTTTTAACCAGTGACAGTGAAGTATTGGCAATATGGTTCTAGGTCAGGATAGTATGTTACTTGGAGGAGAACTTGCATGTCATGATGTTCCCTTGCATCTGCTGGCCTTTGCCTAGAAAGACATGAGGCTGCTGATTTGGAAGGTTCCCTTGAGGTGCCTTGAGTGAATTGCGGCACTGTATTTTGTAGATGGTATGCCACTTTACCTCACTGGTGAAGGGAGCAAATTTTGTAGGTGGTGGGTGGGGAGGCCAATGAATCAGGCTGAAGGAACGTATTCCAGCATAATCTGATGTCAACCTTGTGGATAGTAGGCCGGGTGTTGTAGAGATGGGAGATGTGTTACTCCACCCAAACGCTTAGCCTCTGAACTGCTGTTGGAACCACATATTTAATGTGGCCAGTTTCTGGCCAATATGTTTGGGGATTCAGTGATGTTGCAATTAAACATCAAAGGATGGTGGATGATTTATGGGGTTTTTTGTATTCTGAGGTTTACTATCGCAAATGGCACTGAACCATGAGTAAGGATCAACAATCATCCTCACCTTTGGCCTTGTGATGGGAAGCTCATTGATAAAACACTTAAAGATGGTTAGACTAGGGCAAACCTGAGTAAATTCTGTTCATTTCGGTTAAGATTAATGATTGATCTAGAGTCAATTGCTGCTCTCATGAGGTAACTCACTACAATCATTTTTATACAGGAGCATTCTGTAACTTCAAGAAAATTGCTCTAGACATGTGTTCAAACAATTGATTACAAATAGTGGCTTTTGTACTGCGCTTGTAGTATCCCTATCCCTGGGCCAGAAATTCCACTTTGAGTCCTACTTGCCATGAAGGTGTCACATAATATAACATGTTCAAACTGGGTGGTATTTTGTCTTTATATTTAAAAAAAAAAATCACTGAATCTATCTTGGGTGTAATATTCCTTCAGTTTTTGTCTGGTATACAAACCTGTGTTGCCAGTGTAAGTCACTGCATTGTCAGCTCGTTGCAACTGTGTACACTCGGAGGGAACTTTGCTCGTGAGTCATTCCTAAATCTAATCTGGCCCGCCTTTTTTTGGTCTTAAAATATACATAACAGGTGATTTTTATACAAAATGCACTGTATTGATTATTTTTCTCATGTCCTTGTCCAAATGTGTATATAAGTTGAAATGCCATTTTAAAGCTTCTTTCTTTAAATTATTTATAACAAAAGCAATCTGTTTCAACACGTGGCACACCTCTAGGTCAATAAAAGTTGAAAGAACTGCGAATGCTGTAAATCAGGGACAAAAATAGAAGTTGCTGGGAAAACTTAGCAGGTCTGGCAGCATCTCTGAAGAAGAAACTTAGAGTTAATGTTTCGGGTCTGGTAACCCTTCCTCAGACCCTTCCTGTAGGTCAGGTGGGATTTGAAACTGGACCTTCTGATCAAGAAGCGAGGACGCTTCACTGTGCTGCAAGAGCCCTCTGCCTTTGTGATATGCTTGTCTAATCTCTAAATTTAAACAGACAGAATCTTCAGAACATTTACCAGGAGGCTGATGCACAACTCCCCACTGTAGTTTTGTCCTTTTCATTGGATTGCAATTATCAATAGAGAGAGCTTTATGAAATTAGCTATGATAGTTTTTCACAGTGGGTTTTTGTGGACAACCATTAGAACAAAGTGTTGGCCTTGTTGAGACATTTTTGTTTTGATTTGGAATGGAATTGCAGTTGAAAATTGAACTTTCAACAGCAGATCCTTTTTCAAAATAAAGCAAAGGATTGATGTTTGGGAACTGGCCTGGAAATGTAATGCATGTTAATTAGTACTGTTCTAAGGACACGAGATGAAACAGTACTGAGGTGTTATGTTTGGGGACTAGCAGCTGATTGGATGTTGAATTGCTCAATCAAGGAAGGACCAGAGCTGGTGAGCCGACCACCAAGTTGAAAATGTTGAACTAGTGCTGACTGGGTTTTTTTGAGCAGGAGGCAACTTTTGCTTCAGAAGATGGCGGACTTGGAAGCTTTTTTTTTCAGTTTTGCTCTCTAGTTATTCTCTTTAGTTATCGACTTATTGAAAGTTCTGAAAAGTGTTTCCCAGTTGTAACAAATGTCTCCAGTGATGTGCAGAAGCTATTTGGATTGACAGGTGACTTTGGAATAAAAAGCAAGATTTACAGTCTTGGTCATAGAGGTATACAGCACAGAAATAGGCCCTTCGGTCCAACTTGTCCATGCCAACCAGATATCAAATATCAATGTAGACCCACTTCCCAAAGTTTGGCCCATATTCCTATCCAGAGGCCTTTTTAAATGTTGTAATTGTATCAGTCTCCGTCGCTTTCTCTGGCAGCTCATTCCATATATGCACCACCCTATGAGTGGAAAAAGTTGCCCCTTTTTTAAATCTTTTCCCCCCTCACCTTAAACCTATGCCCTCTAGTTTTGGACTCACCCCACCCTGGAGAAAAGACCTTGCCTATTTACCCTATCCATGTTCCTCATGATTTTATAAACCTCTGTAAAGTCACTCCTCAGCCTCTGACACTCCAGGGAAAATGCCCCCAGCCTATTCAGCCTCTCCCAATAACTCAAGGGGCGGCACGGTGGCTCAGTGGTTAGCACTGCTGCCTCACAGTGCCAGGGACCCAGGTTCGATTCCACCCTTGGGTGACTGTCTGTGTGGAGTTTGCACATTCTCCCCATGTCTGCCTGGGTTTCCTCCCACAGTCCACAGGTGTGCTGGCTAGGTAGATTGGCCGTGCTAAATTGCCTATAGTTTTCAGGGATGTGTAGGTCAGGAGGGTTGCAGGGGGATGGGTCTGGGTTGGTTGCTTTGAGGTTCACTGTGGGCCTGTTGGGCCAAAGGGCCTGTTTCCATACTGTAGGGATTCTATGAATTCTATTCTATGAATTCAAACCCTCCAACCCTGACAACATCCTTGTAAATCTTTTCTGATCCCTTTCTAGCTTCACAACACTCTTCTCATTGCAGGGAGACCAGAATTGCATGCAATATTCCAAAGGTGGCCTAACCAATGTCCTGTACAGCCACAACATGACCTCCCAACTCCCATACTCAATGCACTGACTAATAAAGGCAAGCATTGCATATGCCGCCTTCACTATCCTAATTACCTGTGACTCCCCCTTCAATGAACTATGAACCTGCACTCCATGGTCTCTTTGTTAAGTAACACACGCCAGGACCTTAGCATTGTGTGTATAATGCCTGCCCCGATTTGCCTTTCCAAAATGCAGCACCTCACGTTTATCTGAATTAAACTCCATCTGCCACTCGGCCCATTGGTCCATCTGATCAAGATCCTGTTATACTCTGAGGTAACCTTCTTCACTGTCCACCAGACCTGCAATTTTGGTGTCATTTGCAAACTTACTTACCGTACCTCCTATGTTCACATCCAAATCATTTATACAAATGACAGAAAACAGTGGACCTTGCACCGATCCTTGCGGCACACCACTGGTCACAAACCTCCAGTCTGAAAAGCAACCCTCCACCACCACCCTCTGTCTTCTACCTTTTTGAGCTAGTTCTCCCTGTATTCCATGTGATCTAATCTTACTAACCAGTCTACCATGAGGAACCTTGTCGAACGCCTTACCGAAGGCCACATCGATCATGTCCACGACTTTGCCCTCCTCAATCGTCTTCGTTACCTCTTAGGGAAAAAAAGTCAATGGGGTTAATGAGACATGATTTCCCCCACACACAGCCATGTTGACCATCCCAATTAGTCCTAGCCTTTCCAAATGTACGTAAATCCTGTCCCTCAGAATTCCCTCCAACTTGCCCACCACTAATGTCCGGCTCACTGGTCTATAGTTCCCTGGCTTTTCCTTACCACCTTTCTTTAGTTCTAAGTGCCTATAATACACTCATCAAAAGATTTCAAGGCCTGGTATCTGTTGTTGAAATGCTTAAAGAACTAGCAAATTGTTTATTTAAATGTATCCCTTAACTGTCAGTGAAAATTTTATATTCAAAACAACTGGGCTTAGATCATAGATATGAATTAGATTGCTGTGTAGTTTGTCTGTGTTCTGCTAAAGTTATATTCTTAACAAAGTAACCATTTATTATTTAAGTTATTAACTAGATGTCCAGAATCTGTTATTTTATAAAAATTAAAATACAACAATTGAGCAGTTTGGAGGGTAATTGAGTGTTTTCATTTGTGTTGTAAATCTAGTGATAGGAGGACTGGTTTGGCTTCCTGGGTCATAGCAGCCTGAACTTCTCTGGAATTTAATGTGACTGGTCATTAATTTCTCTTTGAACCCCATTGAAAGTTGTAATTCGTGGTGTGAAATTGAAGTGAATCAGCTGCTTCAAGGTATTTGAGTCCTGCTGTAATGGTCAATGCATTATCTCACTGATAATAATTAACATAGCGCACATGAGTAGTGTGTTCCCCTACAAAATTTGATTTATTTAGGTACCATTAGGTTCAGATCTTAGGCTAGCTAGGAGAAAGATGGATTATTGTGTCTTGTACACCTGACTTTCTCACAATGAATTTGGAGAGTAGTGACAGCTTTCTACAACCATTCTGTGCAGGAAGGTCCCATAAATAGTATTGTGATGAATGGCTGGGAAGATGTATTCATCGATAAGAGACAGAAATACCTTCCCATGAGTGAAGAGAACTTTGACCATTTGACAACAGTTAACAGGTAGTCCTTGTGGCTACCAAAAAGCTTTGCCCATCACGATGGTCAGCATATAGTTGGATCTCTTTGTTTTATCTTCTGGATTTGTGCTTGATCTGTTGGAACGTTACCTTCTTGACTTGTGCTTTTGGATTGTTTCAGCATGCAATGAAACTTTATTTTGTTTCTGGAACACATTTCAGCATTATTTTTTTCAAACTAGTCGTCATGCTGATATTGCTCCAATCTAGTGATTTGGGCACATCTAATGAAGCTGATTCTGTATTTGCTGTCACTATTTTGGAATTAAGTTGTATATCTGAAGATTTTCCAGGTTGGTAATGAGTTGTATTTGGGATTCCTTTTTTGAGGGGCTATTTTAGGGCTAAGATGTTGAACATTGTTTTGGATCTTTGGCCCTCTGATGTCTTGTGGATGTTTATTGCCAAACAGTCCGGTAGGCAGCAGTCCCATCACACTGATACATGTACTTGGTTTTTGACCTGAACAATGCCACTTTGAGAGATTCCAATGATTTGATCAAGATGCCCTCGTATAGTTTTGTATTTGTCCTTCTGGCAGAAAGCACAGTTGTTACAACAAAATCTTGCTAAACATGCTTTGTCAGTAGGAGGGCACTGTGTTAATTGACTAGTTACCATCCAATTTTTCCCAATGATTCTGTTCTAGACGACATAGTTGCTTCCAACCTTTGCATTCAAGTCCCACTGTGGGATTATCTTTTAGGGAATGGCAATGAGGACTTCAAGGTCAGGAATGGAATTTTTCCTTAACCTCTGCAAAGTCAAGGGATGGAGCTATAGGTGAAGTATCAGTATACACCTGTATGTTTATACATTGCATCTATGTCCAAGATCCTATTCTGAACACAAAGCCAAATCCCTGGGCAGGCCAATCACTGTTTGCCTTTCCTTTCCAACTGCAGTTCCTTCAACTGCCCTTCCCAGAAAAAATGGTTTTCTCTGAAGGTGGCAGTGGCAACTTGAGTCTTGCTAGCTCAGTTTCAATTGCAGTTCTTTCTGGAGGGTCACTGTTGAGATTATTTGTGAGTTTTTGTTCCAAGTTGCAAAAGTTAGCTTGCTTTCTTCGACTGCAGAGATGGTCGTCCCCAGGGTGTGGTTCCCCACTCAGGAGAATGTGTAGGCCAACCAAGGACCTGCATTCTAGCCCCCTCCCCATTTGGGTGAGCAGAAGGTATCCTGAAGAGGATACTAACCATTCTGTTTAAAAGCAGAGAAGTAATAGTAAATCTTCATAATTTGTTTAATATTCTAACTGAAAGTCTCCAGTTCATTCCAACATGATTCAGAATAAATGTCAATGCACAAGAGATTTACCAAAATTGACTAAGGATGAGGTAATGCAGTTATGCCAAGAGACTCAATCGAGGATTACACTCTTTTAAAGCAAAAAAAAATTGAAGCAAGGTGTTCAAAATGATGTAGCTCTCTTTACAGAACACATGGCAGTAAATGTTTTCATTAACAGGACAGTTAGGAAATATAGGGTTCAAGATAATTGGCAAAAAAAAAGGCCAGAGGAAGGATGACTTATTTAGTCAGCAAGTTGTTGTCTAGAATGCTCTGCCTGAGGCTGGTAGAAACAAGTTTAGTACTAATTTTCACAAGGGAATTAACTTGAGAACATAGCACTTGCAGAGCTACGGGGAGAGATCAGGACAGTAAGACTAATTTGATGGAGCCAGCAGAAACAGAGTCAAATGGCCACCACCTGCACTGTGTATGTTTTTTGTTCTAAAAAAATGCAAGAGGTAATAATGTGAAACATTTTACCAAATAGAATTTGTTAAAGGAATGTAACTATTCTTAAATTTATTTCTGCAGGGCACCGTGGGTTCTATTTTGGATAGAAAAGATGAGACCAAAACTCAGGATGATATTTGTGAACATCTTGGTAAGAAAACTATGCAGCTAAAGGTCCTGAAATATTTTTGTTTTAATAGATTATGGTATAAGCTACAAACATCTGTTGAGATTTATGACGCCATCTGATGGTAATATTGGACAGTTAGATCCCTGAAGGAAACTAGCTTCAAAGAACACAATTTTTGCGATTAGCTACCATGGTTTGACACTTGACGTCTACTGCTTTGTGTGAATAGGTTTTGTTAACAACAGAACAAGTTTTTTGTACAAAAGAAATAAATGAAGACAGTTGGAAAGATATTAAATAACCATTATAAGTGCTAGCCTATCTCGTAACACTTTTTAATATTCAATTCCAGAGAAATATCATTCATATCCCAGCTTTTTAAATCTTTACCTAATTTAATTTTTGATTAACACTCTGATTCCCTGCTCTTCAATACTTACTGGATTAGGTGATGGTTCTGGAAAGACTGACCTAGTTATGGTTTTAACCCAAGGACCTTTCAGTAATAACACAGACTTTACAAATTCAAACTTTTAGACTTGTACATGAGCTTTCATGGCTTGGAAATTCCAGATCCACAGAAACCACTTCTACTGAGGTAGCTGGTTCCCCTGAACTAAAAGTTTTTTGTTTTTTTTTTCTGAACTGCGACCTTTCAACTTTCTGTTTTGAAGTCAAAGTTAAACTAACGGCATTGTGTTACCTCTATCAATACAGGCTCGGAGGGATAAACATTTATCCATTAACACTTAATAACACTTGCATGGATTTTCCCGTCACCACACTTAACTGCAATCCTATCCTTTCTTGAAACTAATCTACTTGGATCATTGTCCAAAAGACTGACCTGTTTTTTTTAAATGGTACCTCCACAGATCTCACTCACTTCCAACTGCCTTTTTTTGGGTCCAAATCCCAAAATATATATAGCATTCACCTTTCACAACAACTGCCAAAACTTATTTTTCAATGGATGGCTCTGGAAAAACTCCCATCAATCAATCATATTCTTAAGTATTTTAAGAGTGAGCATTTGAACTGCAGAAAGAGCTTGCATATATACAGCATCATTATCACCTCTGTTGAATAACACAATATGGTTTGTGGACTAAGAATTGTTCATTGTCCCTGTTGCTCAGAAGGGAAGGGGGGAGAGGAGGAGAGCGTTAGTCATTGGGGACTCCATAGTTAGGGGGACAGATAGGAGATTCTGTGGGAACGAGAGAGACTCGCGGTTGGTGCGTTGCCTCCCAGGTGCCAGGGTCCGTGATGTCTCGGATCGTGTTTTCGGGATCCTTAAGGGGGAGGGGTAGCAGCCCCAAGTCGTGGTCCACATAGGCACCAACGACAAAGATAGGAAAAGGGATGGGGACGTAAGGCAGAAATTCAAGGAGCTAGGGTGGAAGCTTAGAGCTAGAACAAACAGAGTTGTTATCTCTGGTTTGTTACCCGTGCCACGTGCTAGCGAGGCGAGGAATAGGGAGAGAGCAGTTGAACATGTGGCTACAGGGATGGTGCAGGAGGGAGGGATTCAGATACCTGGATAATTGGGGCTCATTCTGGGCTAGGTGGGACCTCTACAAATGGGATGGTCTACACCTGAACCAGAGGGGTACCAATATCCTGGGGGGGAAATTTGCTAATGCTCTTCGGGAGGGTTTAAACTAATTCAACAGGGGGACGGGAACCTGAATTGTAGCTCCAGTGTACAGGAGGTTGAGAGTAGTGAGGTCATAAATAAGGTTTCAAGGTCGCAGGAGTGTACCGGCAGGCAGGAAAGTGGTTTGAAGTGTGTCTACTTCAATGCCAGGAGCATCCGGAATAAGGTGGGTGAACTTGCAGCATGGGTTGGTACCTGGGACTTCGATGTTGTGGCCATTTCGGAGACATGGATAGAGCAGGGACAGGAATGGTTGTTGCAGGTTCCGGGGTTTAGATGTTTCAGTAAGATCAGGGAAGGTGGTAAAAGAGGGGCAGGTGTGGCATTGTTAGTCAAGGACAGTATTACGGTGGCAGAAGGGACATTTGATGACAACTCGTCTACTGAGGTAGTATGGGCTGAGGTTAGAAACAGGAAAGGAGAGGTCACCCTGTTGGGAGTTTTCTATAGGCCTCCGAAAAGTTCCAGCGATGTCGAGGAAAAGATTGCAAAGATGATTCTGGATAGGAGCGAAAGTAACAGGGTAGTTGTTATGGGGGACTTTAACTTTCCAAATATTGACTGGAAACGCTATAGTTTGAGTACTTCAGATGGGTCAGTTTTTGTTCAATGTGTGCAGGAGGGTTTCCTGACACAGTATGTAGATAGGCCAACAAGAGGCGAGGCCACATTGGATTTGGTACTGGGTAATGAACCAGGCCAGGTGTTAGATTTGGAGGTAGGAGAGCACTTTGGTGATAGTGACCACAATTCGGTTACGTTTACTTTAGCGATGGAAAGGGATCGGTATATACTGCAGGGCAAGAGTTATAGCTGGGGGAAAGGCAATTATGAGGCAAGATTTAGGATGCATAGGATGGAGAAGGAAACTGCAGGGGCTGGGCACAATTGAAATGTGGAGCTTGTTCAAGGAACAGCTACTGTGTGTCCTTGATAAGTATGTACCTGTCAGGCAGGGAGGAAGTGGTCGAGCGAGGGAACCGTGGTTTACTAAAGAAGTTGAACCTCTTGTCAAGAGGAAGAAGGAGGCTTATGTAGAGATGAGGCGTGAAGGCTCAGTTAGGGTGCTTGAGAGTTACAAGTTAGCCAGGAAGGACCTAAAGAGAGAGCTAAGAAGAGCCAGGAGGGGACATGAGAAGTCTTTAGCAGGTAGGATCAAGGAAAACTCTAAAGCTTTCTACAGGTATGTCAGGAATAAAAGAATGACTAGAGTAAGATTGGGGCCGGTCAAGGACAGTAGTGGGAAGTTGTGCGTGGAGTCCGAAGAGATAGGAGAGGTGCTAAATGAATATTTTTCGTCAGTATTCACACAGGAAAAAGACAGTGTAGTCGAGATACAGTCTATTAGACTAGACGGGATTGAGGTTCATAAGAAGGAGGTGTTAGCAATTCTGGAAGGTGTGAAAATAGATAAGTCCCCTGGGCCGGATGGGATTTATCCTTGGATTCTCTGGGAAGCTAGAGAGGAGATTGCAGAGCCTTTGGCTTTGATCTTTATGTCGTCATTGTCTTCAGGAATAGTGCCAGAAGACTGGAGACTAGCAAATGTTGTCCCCTTGTTCAAGAAGGGGAGTAGAGACAACCCTGGTAATTATAGACCAGTGAGCCTTATTCGGTTGTGGGTAAAGTGTTGGAAAGGATTATAAGAGAGAGGATTTATAATCATCTAGAAATGAATAATTTGATTAGGGATAGTCAACACGGTTTTGTGAAGGGTAGGTCGTGCCTCACAAACCTTATTGAGTTCTTTGAGAAGGTGACCAAACAGGTGGATGAGGGTAAAGCGGTTGATGTGGTGTATGTGGATTTCAGTAAAGCGTTTGATAAGGTTCCCCATGGTAGGCTATTGCAGAAAATACGGAGGCATGGGATTGAGGGTGATTTAGCGGTTTGGATCAGAAATTGGCTCGCTGTAAGAAGACAGAGGGTGGTGGTTGATGGGAAATGTTCATCCTGGAGTTCAGTTACTCGTGGTGTACCTCAAGGATCTGTTTTGGGGCCACTGCTGTTTGTCATTTTTATAAATGACCTGGATGAGGGCATAGGAGGATGGGTTAGTAAATTTGCGGATGACACCAAAGTTGGTGGAGTTGTGGATAGTGCGGAAGGATGTTGCAGGTTACAGAGGGACATAGATAAGCTGCAGAGCTGGGCTGAGAGGTGGCAAATGGAGTTTAATGCGGAAAAGTGTGAGGTGATTCACTTTGGGAGGAGTAACAGGAATACAGAGTACTGGGCTAATGGTAAGATTCTTGGTAGTGTGGATGAGCAGAAAGATCTCGGTGTCCATGTGCATAGATCACTGAAAGTTGCCACCCATGTTGATAGCGTTGTGAAGAAGGCGTACAGTATGTTAGGTTTTATTGGTAGAGGGATTGAGTTTCGGAGCCATGAGGTCATGTTGCAGCTGTACAAAACTCTGGTGTGGCCGCACTTGGCGTATTGCGTACAGTTCTGGTCGTCGCATTATAGGAGGGATGTGGAAGCATTGGAAAGGGTGCAGAGGAGATTTACCAGGATGTTGCCTGGTATGGAGGGAAGGTCTTATGAGGAAAGGCTGAGGGTCTTGAGGCTGTTTTCGTTAGAGAGAAGAAGGTTAAGAGGTGACTTGATAGAGACATACAAGATGATCAGAGGATTAGATAGGGTGGACAGTGGGAGCCTTTTTCCTCGGATGGTGATGGCTAGCATGAGGGGACATAGCTTTAAATTGAGGGGTGATAGATATAAGACAGATGTCAGAGGTAGGTTCTTTACTCAGAGAGTAGTAAGGGCGTGGAATGCCCTGCCTGCAAAAGTAGTAGGCTCGCCAACTTTAAGGGCATTTAAATGGCCATTGGATAAACATATGGATGATAATGGAATAGTTTAGGTTAGATGGGCTTCAGATTGGTTTCACAGGTCGGCGCAACATCGAGGGCCGAAGGGCCTGTACTGCGCTGTTATGTTCTATGTTCTATTGGTTTAGGAATGTGCAGGCTAGATTATTGGGATGAGTTGTGCTTGTCTTTATGTAGTAGCATAAACTGTTTAACATCCGTGTGAACCACAGGGAAAAAGCATACTATCGTACTCTAGATATGTCAGATTTGTGCTTAAGTTTTCAAAATGAAGCTTGAACTCAATGAGCAATTAGACTTCTGAATTGGCTGTGTTAAATTTGAACGAATGCTAGCACTTTGTCTTTCCAAGGGAAAGAGTTGTCCATTCAAGCTTTGCTGTAAATACTCCATATCTTTTTAGACTGATATTGAGAAACCTCTTGATAACCTGACCAATATTTGTCCATCAACCCATAATTACTGAAACAAAATATCTGTTCATTGGGCAGCACGGTGGCTCAGTGGCTAGCACTGCTGTCGCAGCGCCAGGGACCCGGGTTCGATTCCACGCTCGGGCGACTGTCTGTGTGGAGTTTGCACGTTCTCCCCATTGTCTGCGTGGGTTTGTTCCCGGTGCTCCGGTTTCCTCCCACAGTCCAAAGGTGTGCAGGCTCGGTGGATTGGCCACATTGAATTGCCCGTAGTGTTCAGGGTGTGTAGACTAGGTGGGTTATAGGGGGCTGGGTCTGGATGGAATGCTGTTTGGGGGAGTCTGTGTGGACTTGTTGGGCCAAAGGGCCTGTTTCCAGACTGTCGGGATTCTATGAAAAATCTATGAAATCTTTCTCTCTAATATTCGAATTTAATTATTTCACTTGTCTGTATTACAACAGTGTTTGTAGTTTTTAAGTACTTAATTTGGCTGTGAAACATTTTAGAGATGTCCTGATCTCAGGACAAACTACATAGCAGAACCAAGCTGAAAATAGACAAATAGATTGTCAGCTATAATCTTAAAATCTAATTATTGTAATTTAATAGATTAAAATCAATTTCTACAGATCTGACTCACTTAAAAGACAGGAATGTTGAGGATCTCTCTGGAGGAGAGCTGCAAAGATTTGCATGTGCAGTGGTGTGCATTCAAAAAGCTGATATGTAAGTTTCCATAAGAATTTTAATCTTTTGTTATTTGTATATTCCTTTCTCCCCCTCTCTGTCTGTCGCTGACCACCCTCCTGCTCTGCAGCTGCCCCTCCCTCCTTAAAAATAGTCATCCTGCTTTCCACTTTCTTTAGTGATTTCTTTTAGAAGACCTTTCAGTTGAATTAGCCCCAAGATCTTCATGATAGTTCTACACCATTTTCTCATTTGGGATTGTTGGTCCAATTGCCAGGAAATTAATTTGATTCAACAATGTTGCATTTTGAACACTGCAAAGCAAAACCAGGACGTGAATGAGATTGTATTCATATTTGGCCTCTTTCTGTCCCCTTGATTTCTATTGATGACTTGTGTATGTTTCAATATGACAATGAACTTTTATTTGACATGGAGTACAACTGTCCCTCATGTTCAGATTGTATTAGTGTTAAGATATTTGTTTACCCTTTGACTTCTGGAAGGATTTTGAGGTACTACTTTGATGTAAATTCTGCCAACCAAAATGATGTATTTCTTCTCAGCTTCATGTTTGATGAGCCCTCCAGTTACCTGGATGTTAAACAGCGTTTGAAGGCTGCCATCACCATTCGCTCTCTTATAAATCCAGATAGGTAACCTTCTAATATGTTATGTCTGCAAGTAATGACCCATTGCACAACTGTAGCTCTCAGTACCACATCAGCTACAATTATTCAATCATGACAATTTGGCAACTAAATTTTTAGTGGCTGTCTGTTCTATCTCTAGTTTTTTTTTTGCTGGAGCTATTTAAATGTCAGTATTGTGTATTGGAGAAGTTAATAATGCATTAGAATAGCAGTAGATTTCTTGAATTAGCTGTGGTTAATTTGCTATAAAGGTAAATTCACAATTCTAATTTCAGTATGTTTCAATTGTATTATAAGCCAAATCTGTCATTCGTTGAAAGGCAGTCTATTGCCTCTTGAAACAAAATAGCATATCCATTCACAGCAGTGTGGTTGAAGAGTTAGAGTCCAATGCCTGAACATCTCATGCTATTCAGATGGACTCATTAGTGCATGAGTTGCAATTGTATTAAGACATTCCATTTTTCCTTTCTACAGTCTATAGCCTGACCCCTCTTGTGAAATTCATTTATTAGTCAACAGACCCTTTTTGAAGTTGACAGTGACACTGTTGCCAAAGCATTTTGGTAGTTTTGTGATTCTTTAATGTTTTTTTCTACTATGCAAGTCAGCATTAAATTTGTACTTCTGCAGTAAGTGATTACAATTATAATTCATTTTTTTTTGTGGTGACAATTTTATAATTCATTTTTTTTGTGGTGGAGGCATTCAAGAGGATATTGGGTATTTGGGTGGTAGTTGTGTGAAGAGTTATGGGGAAAAGGCAGGGAATTGACACTAGATAGTAGAGCACAGAGGCCTTCTGCCTCAGTCTTATTTGAAAGTTGTATAGATCTTCAAGCTTAAAGAATATTCAAAAGGCAATGTCTGCTGGAACCTGTAATTTATGTGTGGGGAAAGAATTAGGTAAGGATTGGTTCGGGGGTTGGGGGGGTGGTTAATGAGGACATAGGCAAAGGGGAGAGGAAATGAGGATACAGAATGGGATTTGTTGTGGGAAGGAAGAGGAGAATTGGGAATCTCTTGTATCCCAGGTCCTGGACCAATCCCGCTGAACTGTTTCAAACGCGCATTGCTGATTTTTAAAAGAAGTGCATAGTGCACATGCACTGCTATCAGCAAATGCAGCCTATTCAGAATTGTCCTTGCATGACACTTCATGTTGACAAAATATGGATGTCTTCATGGATGCCGAGGTGCATGGTTTGGAACCTCAGATTCTGTGTTTAAAGCATTGTTTCTTGTTAATTAGTATAAAATCTCAATTTGCTCATGTTATCTATATTCTGATTGAAGATATATTTGCCACTGTGGTGATAATGCTATTTTTAAAACAACATTTCAAGTCTGTATATCAAAATTGAAATGGAATCAACTAGGGAACAGGAAACTTACCATAACTTTAACCCAGCTACCTGAGTGCCTCTTACGTTAATTGTTTTTGAAGTTTTTATTTCCATTGTTTCCATTGGTCAGCACAAATTTCAATTGATCTAAAGTCAATAACCTGCTGAATTTCTTTTCAGCTTTAAGTGAATTTTCAGACAGTTCCATTAATGAGAATATTTTGAATTGCCTTAATGAAATGTGCTGTTTTTAATTTTATTCTTATCGACAAATACCTTTCCTAAACTTTAATTAAAATTGATTCAGTGCTTTAAAGTTTACAGAGCATTCGTGGTAGAACTAATTGTTTGAGCGCAACTTTATTTGGGTACAGACTGCAGTAATTGTTTTATTAGACAGAGTATGATGTTCTCATTTTTGTAACCAGATATATTATCGTTGTGGAGCATGATTTGAGCGTGTTGGATTACCTTTCTGATTTCATTTGCTGTTTATATGGCGTGCCGAGTGCATACGGTGTTGTCACCATGCCTTTCAGTGTTCGAGAAGGTAAACTCTGAATTAAATCCTTAATATTAAACTTGGAAAGTTTTTTTTTTAAAGTTCACCTGCAAACTGCATGCAGAAACCATCACAAATTTTATGAATCACCGAATCATAGCATTATTTTGTATTCCTTTCCACACTAACAGCTGGTTTTGTTTTTATTGCTGCAGTTAAACTGCAGGTCACCTGAGCATTACAGGTGAACATCATTGAGTTTTACTTTGTTTGTGTGCACACTTAATTTTATGATGAGTAGACTAGCCTTTCTTACTCTTAATGAGCATTGAGATTTGAAAATCGTCCTGTGTACTGCACAGGAACTCATTACATTTAATTTTTTACAAGTCCTTTTTCATGCTGTTTACATTTTTGCATCTTCAGTATCACATAGATTACTACATGTCATTGTCTCTGTGTTAAATTTGTTGCATGGTCAAACTGGTAGTTTTAACTTACCATCACAAAGTTCTGTAACTGGTATGAAAATAAACTTCACGTCTTCTACAAGTGATCATTTACTTACCATTGTTACAGTGACATGTTTCATTTCAAAATATTTACATTCAAACATAATTGCTGTGACCTTGCAAATATGCATCTGTAACATAATAAAATTTTAACTGGCTTAAATACATAACTTGCGGTAATGTGCAGTTTCTATTACTGGGGGCATTATAGGAAATGGCTTTCTGAAGCTAATATTGTAGCATGTTATTGCTTTGACATAAACCCAATAACACTGAACTGACAACTTTCCCATCAAATCTTACTGTTTTTAATTTTCTTTTCAGTTAGAACACAGGGTATGTTTCTATATCATTCGTTCTTTCAAAACCTGTAATGGATATTTTATTTCCCAACAGGTATCAACATATTCTTGGATGGATATGTGCCAACAGAAAACTTGAGATTCCGCGATGCTTCTCTGATTTTCAAAGTTGCTGAAACAGCAAATGAGGAAGAGGTCAAAAAAATGTGCCGATATCATTATCCAAAAATGAAGAAAAAGATGGGCGAGTTTGAACTGGAAATTGGGACTGGAGAGTTCACAGATTCTGAAATCATGGTAATGCTGGGAGAAAATGGTGAGTGTTAATGTTGTAAACAAGTAACGTGATATTTCAAACTGGATGCTTGGTGTGTTAAAATCTGACGTAGTGAAGTGTTTGAAAAAGGTAAAAAGCAATGGGCAATCATGGAATTTGTGTGATACCTTTATGTACAGAAGTAAAATAGCCATCAGTTTTTGAAAAAAAGGAAAAAGCAAGGAAAATTGACATTGTGATCTCTTAAAACTGTTAGATTTGAAATCTTGCAACTACATACTATGTAGATCTCTTATACATTCTGTAATTATTCTGTATCTGTACCAACAGGTACAGGGAAGACCACATTCATCAGAATGCTGGCTGGAAGATTGAAGCCAGACGAAGGAGGTAATGTGCTTTTTATGTAATCTTTGCAAATTGAACTTTGAACTCGTGCTGTGAATTCTGAAATAATGACTGTATAAAATATGCAACTAATAAATATGCTTCACCTGTAGGTGCAGTGCCTGTGCTGAATGTCAGCTACAAACCACAGAAGATCAGCCCTAAGTCCCAAGTAAGTAGTAAAGTCTTTCTGATTTTTTTTTTTTTGTTTGGTTGTGCCCCAATCCCACAAGATTATGGGAACTTGATTGCTGGAGCAGGTTACTGAAAGTCACTCAGACTTTTTCAGTAGCATCTTATCTGATCTTATTTAAACGTTAGACTTCAAGCTGTTCAAATTGATTCTTAATTATGA